CGAAGCCCCACTATGAATACTTTCGTTCCACCGGGTACCTGCATAAAGTTTCGGACCAAACCCCGCATCTCATACCGTGCAGTTCCGCTTCCACTTCTACCGTGATAAAAAAGAGGTTTGTAGTAGCTCCTCTTATGGATGATCGCAAGATTAGAGATATTTTAATATCTGGCAGATACATCTACGGTCGAAAAGATAGAAAAGGCTTTTGCCCAGTGTATAGCCTTCGCAAAGTGATGCGCATAACTTTTTGGTTATGCTACGGCTTGATCTTTAGATTTGTGACTTTAACTCGAGTTTAAGTCAGGCATACTACTGATACAAGTACGGCGAGCACGTCGTGGCAGAGTTTAAATTACGATGGGCTAGGGGCAGGTTCCTGCGGGCATCCCGCGGAATGTGCGTGTTCTAATTCACGTTTTACGGTGAGCTATACTTTTTTAAACAGGCCGTAAGATATATCACCACTAGTAGAAACTAGCGGCGCCACTAACGACGTAATCGCACTTGACACTAGGGACCCCCTCTTATTCTACAAGTATAACAGGAACGTGTTTCGAACGTGTTGCTAAAATAATAACACGAAAATTTGCGGCGCTAGTCGCATATAGATAACGTACATCATATCAAGCCTAGTGTGCCGCCCATGGTACGGCGCTAAAATGTCATGGTAAGCTAACATGCCGCCACCACCCGATAGGTCCTCAAGTTCGTGCCCTGGCCAATTTAACCTCAAGTATCATGTTGGTAGATCCGGACTCTGTAAATGTTTTTTAAGCAGGTTGGTGTGTACACTACTACAAAAGTCTCACCGAATATGCAAAGTGCAACACGTAATCCTGGACTCCGCGGCATTGTGGTAAAAAGCGCCCAAAATCTCACTGTTCCTGTTAATCTTGCCGACATTTTTCCATAAAAAGGATCTGATGGGGTTTCAGTGCAGTTTGAAGATGAAAGATGGCGCCATAAACATAACCCAATACTCAGTCCTGCATTACGTAGGCGATATGACCATATGTGTATACCTTGTATACGTTAAGCTGTACGTCAACCTACCTACACAGAATATCAGTCAGCAAAATAGATTTGATTCGCTACCGAGAGGCTTATGCTAAGCATGCCAAGGTCTAGACCAAGCACTCTAGCGTCCGAATCAAGCATTCTAGTGTCCGTGTTAACCGCTGACAGGGTCTATATTCACTGCTCCGGGGTCTGTGTCAAGCTATTTCCAAGACAAAGCCTGCGAACTCATGGTCACTTCCGAAGGTAGTGCCAATAATCAAGTCTGGCCGTAACTGCGCTTACTTCTAGCGTTATGCATAGTGGTCTTGCAATGCTCAGATAGTAAGCTGATTTTCTTACTTGATGAGGAATGGTATAATATTGTGGAATAGCTCAGGCACGCGAAGTCACAAAGGGAAGACTAACCCATAAGGGAGGCAGATTTGTCACAGGTATCAGGGAAAATTTTCTAATAGGTGATATAGTTCTAGCTCAGAGAAAACTCTCTTCACATTCAGATCGAACAAAAGAGTCGAACCACTTAGATAGTTCGTAAAGATTATACTATAGGACATAACATAATATGCACTCTGGATACTCATAAAGAGTGGCTTGCAGTGAAGAGACAGCAGTGACATGTTTTAGAACACTACAGCAACTCTGAAACACGAGAGAGCCTACCGACTCCTGAGGCTTCTCGTAAGGCTGACCGTGCTATCATCGTAACTTCGGCAGTCTCATACTGTAATTAGATTAGTGCAAGGGAAGTTCTTCCCTGTTAGACATGACTAGCCTGTTCGCGTATGTGTTCCAATCTTGAGGCTGAATTCGAACTGCTACCTGCATTTTTCAAGACTTACTATGTGCAAAGTGAGTTGTAAAGTGCTTCTTGCATTACCAGTACTCTCGCTTCAATACATTCGCAGGTTGCTGCGTCCACAATGTGTCTATATACTAAATCTGTAATCCAGGTACATAAGCACATCCTCTTCTTTCGTTGTTAGCGCGAATAAGTGCCTGTTCGGTATGGAAAATCTACGGAGTACCAGAGGGCGTTGGTTGAAACGCAGTAGACGGGAGACACTAGGCCTATTGGGACTTTTGACAACTTGAAGCGGGTGAGAGCGGCGGTTCTCTACGGAGCATCAACGAGCGTTAGTTGAATTCCACGCACCGAAGACACTAGACCTATTAGAACCTGTCACAATGCAAAAAGGACGAATTTGACGGATTAATGCAGGAGCTTTTTTAATCTCATACCTCTTCAGATGTGTATAAGTAGCTGGCTTCTCGTCAGTGTTGAAGAAGCATCCTCATTCACTTCAGTCTCAGCATCTCTTCACAGTACAATCCTTCACAGTACAATCGTCACTCCCTTCTTACTTGAAACCTGGTCGTTTCTACCAAACTAGCCAACATGCAGTTCACCACAATCAACCTTCTCCTCTGTGCCGCTCTCACTGTCTCGGCCGCCCCAGGCCCAGATCTCCTCTCCAAGCGTACCTGTGGTACCTTGACTGGCACCGAGCTCAAGGTCTGCCAGGACGCCTGCAAAGTCACTTGCGTAAGAAGATTGTTTAAGTATTAAAAAAAGCCTTACTAACTAGAGTTACTTATAGGATGCTATAAAAAGTGTTGTAGCAAAAGAACTCTGCAAGGATGCTTGTGATCTCCCTCCACTTGCCCGTCGCGAAGCTCTCACTATCTCGGCCACCCCAAGCCCAGATCTCCTCTCCAAGCGTACTTGCGGTACCTTGACTGGCACCGAGCTCACGGTCTGCCAGGACGCCTGCAAAGTCACTTGCGTAAGAAGATTATTTAAGTATTTAAAAAAAAGCCTTACTAACTAGAGTTACTTATAGGATGCTGTAACCGGTCTTATCGCAAAAAAGCTCTGCAAGTCTGCTTGTGATGCCCCTCCACTTGCTCGTCGCGAAGCCGAGGCCATCGAGGAGCGCAGCGTTGGAAAGGAGGTTTGCGATGCTGCTGTACGTTGTACTCACCTAATCTTGAGTTATTAGTTTTACTAACGCGAATATCTAGTGTGATGTTACCTGCAACTCTACTGTCCTCGCCCTTGACCAGCTGGAATGCGTCAAGGTCTGCGTAAGTCATATTTACATATGCGGGAAGCGAAGTACGTACTAACTCGTCTTACAGAAGGCCAAGTGCTAGACAGACACTTTGGGATATTGGCTGTAGGTCTGGAAATGGCAATGTCAATTTGGGCCTCAACTACCTTGATCAGAATACTTGTACACAGTAGACAGACGTAGTTCAACAGACTCTTCAGCTCCTATCATAGTCTTATATATTTCTTTTTCCCTCGATGAAACACAGTTCTCGACTAGGTCACAACCACGGTCCAGCATATATTTGATGCTGCTTCCTCGCCACCTTCTCATACCAACCTAAGTTCAATATCATCAGATTATAGCAAGTGCTGGTTAAAGTACCTAAGTACGAATTAAGGTAACTAGAAAAGGTCGCAAAGGATCTAATTTCCGCGACCTAGGGCTCCCAGAAGTCTGGAAAGCGCTGCTGAACGTGCGAAAAGCGTGGCTATCTTTTATGTATTAGTAAGACGTGGAATGCCACGCTACCCGGTACTTCCGCGCTCTGCACTGAGAAAAGAAGATTGCTCTGGGATGTTACAATGCTAAAATGTCGCCAAAATAGAGTACTTACATTCATCTTCAGGCCACGAGTTGACTTTTCTTTCATTTCTAGCACTGAATAGCCACTCTGCTAAAGTTATTTAACGTTCGCAGTCGATATAGAAGCATTACTATCTATCTGTTACAGCTTATCACTTTACAGTGCGCCCTATGATTTTACCGTAAATACAAAGATAACTAATGATGATTATTCTTTTTTAGTCAACTGATGGATATTTTATCACATATTTAGATTATCATTGGATGCATATAACCTATTAACGCTGCAGTAGTAATAGTTAGAAGGGCGGCTGATTAATAGAACAAGCGAGGGCGTCCCTGCGGCGTCTTGCGGCGTCCTGCGGCGTCTTGCGGCGTCCTGCGGCGTCTCTAGTGTGCATGACTCCATCTCATTGGCATCAGCTCGAACCATGTTTCTTTTCGAATGATCGCGCAAACATGCGCCGAACGCTGAGAAGATCTTGCGATGCATGCGCAAGATGGAAGCTTAGCTGCGATCTCCGCACACCAAAATGTTCACGATGCATACGTAAAGAGAAATATGCGCCGTTGCGTGTATGTGAACGAGCCGCTGTCGTTACCTTGGACGGAACAGAATGCTGTTCCTAACAGTACAAATTATGGCTCTGATACTCCCATGAGAAATACACAGCTTGTTCATTCGCATTCTTCATTGCCAAAACCCACTATCGACAGGCCTCTGGACCACTTCGGCCCGTTACCACGGACCAGGCTACCACGAGCTCGTGTGCTGGAGCTTATCCATCATTGGGTGTGGTTTGCAGATCCTTGAATTACTTCTGTAAGCCCATGCGATACACTACGCCCCGGAAAAACGCAATGCAGTACTTTCGGGTCATCTGGCTCGTGCAGACACCAAGCTGCTAAATATACAGCAATACAGCTGACACAGTATAGTCCTGTCCAATATAGCCTTCCAGTACTATCCTTTAGATCTCGAAACATGGTCGAATCCGTTCGTTGTTTCATGGTGGCCACTCGCTCTCAACGACCCCGCCTTATTTCACGTATCTCTTCAGACGGCATCCTTGGACCTAGACCTGAAAGCACAGAATGGGGTTGAAAACTCCGAACTGTTGATGGCCGACTCAATCGCATTAGTGCGACGACGTGTTGAAGATCAGTCCCTGGCATGTAGAGACGAGACTATAGATTCCGTAGTCACGTTGGCTGCCATTGAGGTAATAATCAACATTCATGTATGACCATGCTGCAGAAGATGAGCTAATGTCCGGTTTACAGTTCGGCAAAGGCAACACTACTGTCAGTAGTATGCACATTGAGGGTGTCAAGAAGATGGTTCAGATACGAGGAGGCATACATGCGTTAAAACTCACAAGCCCCCTCACAGCACGCATGGTAGCTTGGTAACGTACTCGCTTTTTATCCAAGGCACACGCATACCACTAACAATTACAATTAGGGTTTCCATAGTACTCATGCAAGAGCCCCAATTTGATGTCCAGAATGACGAAACATGTGGAGATGCAATAGCTCCGATTCAAGAGTGGATTCAACTAGGTGAGAGCCATGAACAAAAGTTCCCGCAAGCATTATCAGACCTCGAATTAGAATCCACGATAGTAAGGGACGTCATCATGCGGCTCCACAATATCTTCGACATGTCTCGGGGCCAGGTTCTATCGACCACTGATCTACATGATCTATTCTATAGTGTACGAGACGTCAAGACTTAATATGCGGGCCTTTCGGTTGTAGTCTGGATAGGCGGGCTAGATGCTTAGGCTGCGGTGACGATCGGATAGGTGTAATATGGAGCCTCCGTAAATGCAAAAATAGCTTAGAAACAATAGGACTCTCTGAGCGCAGCCTTCCACCGCCTTAGCAGGCTAGCTAACTCAAACAAAGGCCTCTC